AGCTTGCAGAAAATATAGATTTTTGAGAATCACCCTTCAATCTTTTGGTTTACTTTGCTGGATATAGCAAATTATGACAAAATAAACATTTGAAACAAGATAAATGGTCTATGCTTAATTTCATGAAGTGTGCGATTAATCGCGATTAATCACAGAAAAAGGATGTGATTAATTAGATTTTTTTTTAAATATCGATTGACAGCCCTAATATATAATTTTTAGCTTTCCCATCATCTAACCCTCATTAAATGTTAAGCTTTAAAAACACTGTTTAAATTAAATTTCATTAGACTGTTAAATGTAATCTTCAGCAAATTTCAAAATGAGTATCTATTTTCAGAATGTTGTGATGCCTAAATTCACTTTGTACCATTTAAAACTATTGATTTTAGTTTTTATGTGTTTTATTTTTATTTAATTTAGACAAAATAATATAGCCATTGGTTATCGGTTATCAGCTACAACATTGAAAAATCTGACAGGATTTCAATAACAGTGCATTATTTCCAGGAACATGTATTAAGAAAGAATGTTGATTCATTTGATGTTGATTTACATTTTCGTAATCCTACATTGTCTTTCTTGCAGTACTATGTGGAGCTCCGCCCACCGTGGACAACGCTTTCCTGATTGGTCGGAAGCGTTCGCATTATGACATACACTCTGTGGTGCGTTACCAGTGCAGTGACGGTTTCCTCCAGCGCCACATTCCCACCATCAAGTGTCGCGCCAACGGCAAATGGGACCGGCCCAAGATCATCTGTACGAAGTGTGAGTATCCCAACTTTATTCTCTAAATGTCAATCTCAAGAACCAAATGGCCAGACTCTTTATTTTAATTTTTTTTGTATCCTCAGCAAGGAGATCTCACCGCTACAGACGCCACCACCACAAGTCCCACCACGAGCGCAGAAAGCACAAGAGGCACGGTTCAGGAGGTCATCGAGGTCAACAGGAGGGTCACGGCCATTTCTAACCAAATAATCCCCTCCTTTCCGCCAGCCTTTCACCTAAGCCTCCTTATCTTTGATATCCGACGGCCTTTCACCTTTCCCCCTTCTCGTCTGGCTCAGTCTACCCCCATTATGATATGAGGGGCTCTGCTGGACCTCACAAGGACTATAACAATTTCACTTTTCCATCTCTTTATCTGTTAATGTTACATCTCATTTTAGTGGATCCAACATGAGGAAAGTTCTTTCATACCTTCAATGTAGAAAACACTAGTTAACTGTTTATGTATTTTTACATAAGCATTAATTGAGCGGGTGGGTTGGTACTACATGTAAATATTGTATTTCATTTCAAAACGCGGGATCAAATCGAAACAGCCAGGAAATGCTTGGGATTGGTTAGCTTATGCGGTATTTCTTGACTGTTTTGACGTTGGTTTGCTCTTTGTAAGACATTAACCTAATTTATACAGTATTTCTGAGTATTGGTGTGTTTTGAGTTGAGAGGAGTGGTGCTCATCTGGATTTTATTCCATGTCATTCCAAACCTGTATGATTTTATTTCTTCTGTCGAACACAAAAGGACATGAGTGACTGGCAACAGGAGCTGTCAAATATTTTAAAATGGCACCATAAAAGTAGTTGTGCACTGTATTTGACGTCTCGTAAAACAGACCGAAGTTCAATCTAAAGTCATTACTCCATTGTAGCTTTCATAGTAATGTGACGCTTCATGTTAATGTCAAATCTGACGACTTAATGATGAACGAGATTTCAGATCCACATCGGTGGAGTTTTCTGCAAATAATCATTTCAATTTAGCATTTTCCCTCACACAAATTTATCGAATACCTTCAGTATTGGTGTGTTTTGGGTTGTGAGGAGTGGTGCTCATCTGGATTCTCAGTGTAGAAACTGCACAATTCACACAAAAATTAAATAACTCTCATGTCGTTCCAAACCCGTAAGATTTTATTTCTTACGTCGAGCAAAAAAAGGAGATGAGCGACTGGCTATAAATGAGCAATATCAGCTACAAGTGTGATATTGCGTTTATACAACAGTTTGATGGCACGAGTGTGTAAATACATAAGAAACAACAACAGCTGTCTTTAAAAACCCTCTTTTGTGCAGAACTACTTCCTTCCGCCACGGATTCAAATCACAAGTTGACGGTTTAACAGCTGGGCCCAAGCCTCCGTTTCTAATTCGAAAACGTCACTTTAGAACTATTTTAAGTCTAAACAAGTACATTCTTGCCTAAAAAACTATTAAAACTACATTCCGTGACACAAAAACAGTATTATTTATAAAATTATATTGGATTTGGGCGTCCTCCATGACATTCACTTTGAGAAATGGTTGGAGTTCTGATATCACTTGAATATCGCACTCCTCTCAGCCAATCAGATTTGAGGACCAGAAAGAACTGTTGTATAAACGACAATAAAGCACCATGAAAGAATGAATTTAACGTCTGCTGAAACCATATGATAGAATTGTGCGAGAAACAGTCCGAAGTTATTCATAATCAAAAAGTTGTTATTCTATTCTGTCAAACTGGTGATGAACGAGATTTCAGATCTGTGTTGGTTTGCTTTTTTTTTTTTGCGAATAATCATTTTAATTCTTGCGCTTTCCTCATACAACCTAATCAAAAATCATCAGAAGAAGAATATAGCACACATATGGTCATGCAAACCCCTTTTATTAAACTTTTATGGTGCTCCACTGGAAAAGAGCAGCTTGGACACTCTGCAAAGTATCTTCTTTTGTGCTCCACAGACAAAAAAAACATAATATGGGTTTGAAATGACATGAGGTTAAATAACTGATGACAGACTTAATTGTTGGGGTCAAACTATTCCTTTAAGTCCTTAAACAGCTTTTAAAGAGCGAGAATTAGAGGGATGGAAAGAGAGGTTCGACTTGCTGGTCTTAATTGCACTCGACTACATAAACAGCCTTGGGGGTCACAGCTATGCCAGTAATTAGCTTCTCAAAGTAGCACACTTAAGGAAGAAATAAAACAGGGATGGATTCCCATGAGTGGGATGAGGACGAAAACAAAGAATCCAGATGGTGCGATATCACATACGGGTTAGATGTTAAAAGTGCTCATGGGTAAATTTCAGAGGCAGGGATACCTCCAGCACTGAAGATCAGGAGGTTAAAAAGGAAAGGCTCATGCAGAAGGAAGCCAGTTGAGAGGCAGCATTTGGTCTTCTGTTCTACTCAGAGCAAAAGATGTGGTCTGGGCTCACTGAGGTTTCCAAAGGCACACTTTTTTTCATCCCCACCAGGTGCGTGTCCTGTTTTTCAAAGAGTACTGCGACAGCTGACTCAAAAATGAGGACCGCTCCTTATTCTCTGCCCTCTCAACTATCCTCCTTACCTTAAAAAGAGGCAGACTCTTTCTTTTTTACTGCGCATTTCTCTAATGCCGGGGTTTGTGCTTATCTCTCACTGTTCCTCGCTCAATTTCCCAGTGAGATTGCAAACGTAGCCCAGTTTTCCGCCAACTTCTTTTCAACGTCACCGCTCCCTCCTTCTCTACCTTTATCCACCTTTTTTAATAGCCTTTTTTTTTAATTCAAGAATGAAAAGCCAATAGTCTTAACATCTGAACAATTCATCTTTTTGTTCCAAGAAACTTAATTAATGTTGAGGTTATTGGCGCTTATTTTGATAAAGAAGCAATTGGCTTCAAGAAAAGGATGATTTACATTTTGAAAAATAAAAAGCTGTTTTTTAACATTTTGAAGTTAAGTCAAAAGCGGAGGAACATGCATTTGTAGTAAATTTCACAAAAACATCAATTTTGCATTCTTTTTATTTATATACAGTGTGTGTGTTGATCATTTTTGTTGAGAATTTTAAAAAATGAGATATATTATTTACTTCATAGTAATTTCAGAGTGGTTAATTTTCTTGAAAATAATGTCGCAATGCAAAACAAAATCCACATCCTTAAAGTAAAATATCAACTTTTTTTTTCTTTCGATTTTGGGGTGAATAATGACCTGTTCTGGGCAGGTTTCGTACAAGTCATTCTAATGCCCATGCATGATTTTCATCGAACAGGAGGTGCACCAGTGTTATGCAATTTGTCTGTCAAAATTGGAGTCTCATTCTGATACCCAGGATCCTAATAATCCATATTAGCTGCTAATGTACCTCTATATCACACTAATAGCTCTTTACAGCCCTTAGCTGAGGCTAGCGAAGGAAGGCAGATGGCTAACAATGTGGCAACTTAATTGTGAGCCTTGATTATAGAAATGAATCTCTAAACAAAGAATGTTCACAGCTGTCTTTTGGCAGGCATTCTGAAGAACTATAAGAGGCAGCTGCGGGATTTTCTTGTGGCAAGTTTTCTGACTAATTGCCACAGAGCAATTGCTGTCCCAGAGGTTGTTACGCTAGCTGCGCCACCCCTTTGTAGTTACATTCGTGGAACATCGTCTTATTTAGGCTTGTTTGCATGACTCATTCAGCCAGATTTGTTGAGATTCTCACAAGAAGAATATGCAAAATACTCTCACAATAGCCTCCAACGGTTTGTTTGCTATCGCCTGCTGCAGCCGAGAATGGCGTTTTTCCATTTTGATAAAATGTTCATGTTGTATCGAGGCGTTAACCTTGTTCTTTTCGTATTTACATGATTGTTGGAGGTAAAGAGGAAGCTACGGAGGTGAGACAGGAGCATGATGTCCTCTGTTTAATCAGGACTGCAGGTAACAAGCCACATCCATCATCACCTACCGGACTATTGCGGCAAGAGTAGCACGTCTGAATTTTTAGTGCATTTGCTGGAAATGTCTTTGATTGGACGGTGTCAGAAAGGGAATTACCATGACAAAGAAGCCAGTTCAGCCGCCGGTGGCAGTGCAGATTGTTCTGGAAATCACTGCTGCTTAGTATACTTAACCCGAACCTCCAGCGTTCCTTGTTCACCTAAACCGTGCTTTCATAGTCCGCACTTTACCTCATATAAATCTGTATTGGCACATAATCTGATCTGTAAATTCCATCTCAGCCGGCTGTCATATTATATACGACTTTGTCATCATGCACGTCGTTTATTTGATGATAACACTGTTGGAGAGGACCTTAAAGAAGACTCTATGATACCGATTAATATGGTGGGGTCTTTAGCTTTACATTGATATGCATTTGGACTATGATGTTCCCGGACTTTTGTTATCGGAGTTTTTGTTTATATTTCCGAACCAAGCATATGAGACTTTTCCTGTATATTTACAGTTACAGCTCTTATTTCTGTTTATTTATTATTTGTTGGCTTGAAGGGCACCCCGCCGTTATTAATGACCCAGCATTCCCTCCTGTTACAAGCAGTAAATTCATTCCTCTGGCAGTAGCAAAACTACCTTGCGACAAAACCATAAAATCTTTTGACACCACTCCCCAGCTCGGTGATGTACAGTCTTTGTTTTCACTTCTTGATGTTTTCTTCTCATTTTTTATGTATGGATTTGTTTATTTTTCACTTTTTAAAACTGAAATCTGGATGTGTTTGTTGCTTAGAGTCCCTGGACCTCAGTCACACAGGCTTACTCTCCGTTCTCCGGCGCTAGGCAGAAAAAGCTACTGCTGCTGCATCAAACGTCAAACGCCATCTTGAGATACTGTTGTTTTTTTTTTAAAGCATTTCCTTCACTGGGATGACCCGAGTCAGGCTGTGTGAATGTGGTCCATATGTGTTATCCAATATTTATTGATGTTCTTATGAATTCTAGTTCTGTCATTGTATTATATTCTTTACCGAACAAGTGGTCAATTAAAAACATTGGATGGGATCGGTAATGCCATTGAATTGGTCTTATCCTTTACAGTTTTTGTTGCAGATTACACATTCTTATGGGTTTTTAACTACACCACAAAAATGCGGTTCCAAACTTGTATGACTTTCTTTTCTCTGTAGAACACAAAAGGAGACATTTTGAAGAATGTTCATGCTGCTCTTTTCCATACAATGTACGTATATAGTAGGGGTTGCACCGACTAATCGGCTAGTCGACTTCAATGCTCTGCCATGACGCTTTAAAGGGATAGTTGTTCACCCAAAAATTAAAATTCTGTCATCATTTACTCACCCTCATGTCGTTCCAAACCTGTATGAGTTGCTTTCTTATGTTGAACACAAAAGAAGATATTTTGAAGATTGCTGGTAATCAAACAGTTGGTGGTTGCCATTGACTTCCATAGTAGGAAAAACAAATACTATGGAAGTCAATTACCAGCAATCTTCAAAATATCTTCTTTTGTGTTCAACATAAGAAAGCAACTCATACAGGTTTGGAACGACATGACGGTGAGTAAATGATGACAGAATTTTCATTTTTGGGTGAACTATCCCTTTAAGCTTGATGTCGACTAGTCGCTGGTCATATAGAGGGCGCAACAGGATAAGAAATATTTGAAGGACTTCCACATTTACTCTCCGTTTCCAAACAGTAAAAATTACAAATACATGCATACTCTGAA